CCAATAGTTTTGTGACGAATTATTTAGCGAGATCTAAGTCTCGTCTCCAACCCTCATGGTAGTCTTTAGAGTTTCCCACATCTCGGCCTCCGAGGTAGCTATCTCTTGGATCACACGAACGACATCGACGTTTCATAATTAATTAATGACATCGTCGTTTCATATTTATTTAATGGCATCGTAGTTTCATATTTAATTAATGGCATCTCAGTTTCATATTCAATTAATGGTATCATCATTTCATGGCCGCCTTTCGGTCTCCAATTAAAGGCATCACCGTTTAAGCCGTCTCTCAGACTCAAATTAACAGCCTCGCCATTTTAAGACCGTCTATCGGTCTCATATTAACGATATCACCGTTTCAAGCAGCCTCTCGGCTCCAAATCAATTTAGAACATAGTGAGAATTGATGATGATAGGCTGGCCGAGCTTTGTGCTAAATGCAGCTTAGACGACAAAGATGACCCTGTTTTTCTGTCAACTAAGGACCAAGTAGATTCGCCTTCCCTTAACAACTGTCTCTTGGGGAAGGTTTTTGGTAGGAAGATTGCTAATAGAGGTGGTCTTGAGTGTGTCCTTAGAAAGGTATGGATTGTAGATGCCCTTTTCCAGGTGGAACATTACAGTGGAAGGAATACTTTCCTTTTCAGATTCGGTTCCGATGCAGATAGGGAGAAAGTGCTTAATGGTGGACCATGGTGTTTTGAAAGGGACTTGCTCAATTTGATTGTTTCTCGTAGGGTCGATGCCCCAACTTCTCTGGATTTCTCTTTAATTTTATTTTGGATAAACGTCAAAAATGTGCCATTAGCTACAATGAACGAGAGGTACTGTTTGTGGAAAATTTTGCAGTAAAAGAAATGAAGGAAAAGTAATTTGTATTCCTTTAATCTCAGTTACAGTTGGATTTACTGATTATAAAAGAGAGGAGAATGAATTTGATTCTCCCCTTTGTTTAATTCTGGGTTCTTCACGGTGGTGATAGAGTGCTTCCTTCGAATGCTCACGTCGAATTTGCTCTCCGTTGACGATCCGAATGTCTCAATTCACTAGAATAACTGACTTATGTGGTCGAACTGATCAAGAACTCTTAATGAACTTTGTAACTCAGGACCAGTAACAAACTCCGGTGGAGAAGAGTTATTTGAACCGAAATAATTCGGTTGAGAATCCAAGTTTCAAATATCTGATAATCTTCGGTTGTTGAAGATTGTTGCCTCCAGATTTTCTCCTCTCCAGAATTTGATCTCCAATATCCGATCCCCCCCTTCCAAATCGATTCTTAACTCTGTTGAGTTTGTTGATATTTATAGAGAGATTAAGGGTATGATTGCCCCTATAATCTGTGCCTAAATAGGGGTTTAGTTGCCCATTAATCGGGTGTAATAACCCACTCAAACCACCTCCCCAAATCGTGGGTGAAGAGCAGTTTCGGGATTGCCAGATCATGTTTGAACAAGTCAAACATAAGTTGTGCATTGCTGGGCCTGGACCTGCGTACACTTTTGGATGATGCATTTATGCTGCGTTCAGCGGCTATGAACGCAGTTCGTTTAGAGCTGCAGTTATGCTGTGTCTGTGTTGTGTTTGAGCTGCATTAGTGTAGTGATCGCATTGCTTTGACCTTTGGAACGTAGCCACTTGTTGACTGTAGGGATGAATTCTGCCTCTCGGTTTGAAGAAATCGTTGACTTGTGATCTCTTCTTGATCTATAGGAGAATCCTCCGATCGTAGCCTCCCTTTGTTAACAAGAAAGTCATTTGATTGTAACCTTCTTAGTTGAGACTTGACGGGGACTAGCTATCTATTGTGATTTTTAGACAGCCTACATAATCCTCTCCAAAGTTTTTGAAAGTTTGCGGTTGACTGGGACGAATTTTCGGAATACTTTGGATCCTAAAATTTTGTTGACTGATTGCTCACTTCGTCTGACTCGAAGACATCGTGAACCTGGTTGTTTGGATAGTAACTTTTGCGTCTTTATGATAATGAACTTAGTCAAATAAGCTAAAGCCCAAGTCATTACTGATGAACCAAACAGGAATGATGATGACAACAAATTTGTCTGGGTCCTTAAGATGCTCCGCTCAATCAGCAATGAGGTGTATTCATCGAATTTCGTCTGGGTCTTTGAGATACTCCACTCAATCTGTGATGAGGTGTATTCATCGGATTTCACTTGGATCCTTTAGATACTCCACTTGATCTGCAAGAGTTGGGTAAGAGAAAGCCAAGGGCATCGAAGCAACCATAGAAACACTAGCTGTAAACTCATCAACGAGGTCATCCTCAGTGAGGTTGAGCACCTTTGGGCTTAAGACAGATCCATTGTCATAGATAGAGAGAACCACAAGCCTGTATGGTAAGGACTTTATCCCAAGTTTAATCAGGAGGGCAGCCTCCGAGGAACCCACTTTATCTCCTTTCTTGATCAGCTCAACTGGGGTAAGGATTTTAACCATATGGTCATTACTTGGAATATTAAGCCCTTTGAAAGGGTTAGTTGCGTGATAGGCTGAGGTCGATCACTAAAACGCATGGCTAAATCATGCGTTCGACCATCTGAATGCGAGGATGCGTTTGGAGGTTGAGACCCCTTATTTGAAAACGCGAAATCGCGTTTTGGGTAGGATTTTCGCCTAAAATCCCACGCTATTTTGACAACTACAGCTGTATATAAATAAACCACTGAGGTCAAATCAAAAAGTCATTCGACTTTTCTCTTTCTTGCTTTTTTGTCGACCGCTTAACAAGGTTCCTGTTCATCTTCTCCGGCGCTTCAACGAAGAAAAAAAATTCGTTCTTAAATCTTCTTCGTTACTATTAGAATGGCTCCCAAGAAGAGACTGGCCTCCAAATCAAAGATCGCCCAAGCTCAGGGTGCTCCTTCGGCTAAAACCTCCGGGGAAATTCAAACCTCCGTGCCATCGTCTCCGATTTTCTCAATTAACGGTAAGTTTAGGCAATCATAAGTTGTTTTGACAGATTCTTTATCCTCAATCTTGGATTGGTGGTTTGCATTCCACCATTAAAACACAGAGATAATCCTTGGTGTTTATCGGTTTTAAAACGCATGGTTAGCTCCGTCGTTCATGATATTTCAATACAGGCTCAGACCATGCATTTTGAATTTTAAATGCAGGTAAAGACCCTGCGTTTAGGGATCTGGACATAGGTCTGGACCTTGCGTTTAAAATTTTGGGCACAGATCCGGACCTTGCCTTCTTGAGTTAGACTCCTTAGTTTAACTGACTGATTTTCTTTTCCATTTGCAGTGTGCTACTCCAACGAGCCTCTTTCTTTCAACCATTACTTCGGTCATGCGGGAGGTGCGGAGAAAAATACAATCTTCAGCTTTCATTTAGAGTACCCAATATTCCAGGACACCAACAAAGAGCGGGCGAAACTCATCACTCAAGCTTTCCCCGAGACTCTCAGGTCCTTGGTTACGGGTGCTAGATTTGAAACCGCAGAGCGTGAGATTTTAAAGAAACAATCCTTCCTCTTCGGGGATTCTGTTAAAATGGATCCCAATCGGATGTCGGAGGGAAACTACAAATGGTTGAGGGTTGTCAACAACCGTCGTCTTTTCCTTCCCAACTTAGAGCGAATGTGGCCGATTTCTTATTATCAGTGCGCTTCTATCCCACGGTCAATGAATTGGGAACTCGTTCAGGACCAAGGAGGTGTTGCTACTGGGCACATTACCCCTCGGGGTACTCATCCGGCTGATTTTAACCATTTTGTAGCCTTGAAGCCAGGTTTATTCAAAAAGGAACATCCCGTCGGTGAACCTGCTAAGCTGGCGGAAGTCTTCATTGTAGGCGTTAAAAAATGCTAATAGATATCCAAACATAGAGAAGATCATCAAAAATCACCCCATACTGTCTTAAGAGAAAAATCAAGACGGATATGAATTGTCTCACCAGCGAGACAGTATTTGCTGTCTCGCCAGCGAGACAGTATTTGCTGTCTCGCCAGCGAGACAGTATTTAGCGAGACAGTGTTGAAATGGTCAAAACCACCTTAAATAACTCCCATCCACGTGTCCATTAACTGCCAAGGGACGTGAAGAACATCGTGGGCGAGAATCACGTGAATAACTGCCAAAATAACGGAGTTTGAAACGTGGGAAGGTAGTTACAGCGAAAACTGCCTGGAATATTCATTTTCCGAGACAGTATTTACTGTATCGCGGGCCGAGACAGCAAACACTGTCTCCCCCCCCCAGACAGCAAAAGCTGTCTCGCGACTTAACTTGCTGTTTTGTCGTGTTTTTTGCAGTTATTGACCCCTGAGGCTATAAATACCCCCTAGGGTCACTTCTGATGAGGATCGAGCATATTTTCGAGCAATCCAGAGCAGAGAGAGCAGATTTGAGTTTTCGTGCAACTCCTTGAAATTAAGCTTTGACTTGATTTTAAGAAGAACGACTATCTTACTTTGATAAGATATCGTTTCAAGTTCTCACTTCGATAAACGAAGTCAGAATCAGTAAACCCCCTTCACGATCTGTGATTCGGCGGTCCACGAACCAAAGCGTTCCCGGCACAGGCAAAGTCCCACAAAAACAGGATTCGATAAACGACTTCTGTGTTAGTTTCTCAAGAGTTGTAATTTTCTAATTTTTTTACTGTAATTCGTTGTAAATGACCGAAGTTCAATAGAATTATCAATGGAAGCAACTTTTGATGCAAACAAACTGGCGACCACAGTGGGAGCCAGCGGCCTCGCTGCCGAGGCCGCGGTGTCACAACCGATCAAGATCGTTGTCAATGAAGAGATCGAATACGAGTTCGATCAGGCGAAGTTTGAGGAGTATTTGTCGTCCTCATCCGCAAAATCTTCCTCGTCTCACAAATATAGGAAGATTTCGTCTTCTAAGAAAACTTTCAAGTCTGCAGTTTCAACGGAGGCCGCAGGCAAAGATTCTTGCCCGATCGTCGCTAAGAAACCTGCCTGCAACATCCCTGCTCAAAATGACTCTACACCCATTACGGAGTCGTTGATCAATAGCTCACCGGTGCTGACGAAGAGAGCTCATCAGAGACAACGCCAGCGCCATGCTCGTCAATTGGCTAAGGCCATGCAACAAACCGACAGGGTCCATTACTATGCAGACCTAGAGTCGAGGAAACAGAAAATGACTCAGTTGCCTCAACGGCAAAATAATCACATTTCTGCACAACTTACGACGGAGGAGTGGACCCTTGTCAAAAGGGCTCGCTCAACCCTTAAGGAACGAATACATAGGCGTCAGGTGAAAGCCGCCCGGGCCCGCGCTCTTCGTCAACAAAAACAAGGAATCAAGAAGGAGTTGGTGTCTGAAAAGCCACCAAATAACCGTAAAGTTTGGGTTCCGAAGGCGCCGCAAACATCCGTTTCGGGCCCGTTTAATGTATCACCAGTGAAACCATGGGTTAGTCCAGATTTATCAAAGTTCAAGATCACGATGGCGGATCGCCTCGGTCCTTCGGCTGACGATCGAGGCAAAGCCCCAGTCAAAGAAAACCCAAGTCCAGTAAATAAACCCGTAGTGGTTTCATATACAGGGGGTCGTAAACACCCTCCTGTCAGAATTGCACAAGTCCAGAACGAGAGAATACCAGTTCATTCTCGTTTAGGACCTATGAAAACAGAGTCTCCGTATTTCAAAGATTGTCCAATGAAGCGTCAAGACCCAGAACAAGACGTTTCAACAAGAAGAAATCTGTAATCCGACAGGATGAGTTCCCTGAAGTCACTATCAACATGACCAACAAGGGAAAGCAAAAGTCAGTTAACCACGATCCTGATTTCTCTCCGGGAGGGAGAGTTGAGCGGGGTCTTTCTCAGAGAATGTCGCGGTTACAGAGAAGAGCCAACCTACGTAGAGACTACAAAAGGATGCACGAAGGAATATCTTCAGATGAAGAACTGTCAGACACTTGTTCTGCTGTAGCTTCAGACAGTACCGCGTCCAGCGTAGGGCGAGTCAGAGAATCATTCGCAATCACTCCAGATCAACTGGCACACATATTGCAGGAAGCGTTGGCTAAACAACACGAGGAAATTAGAGCTGAATTCAAAACCGAGATGGAGTTGACTATGCAGCAGATGCGAGATTTGCAGGTTCAACAACATCAACCGGAATCAAGCCAAAGAGCAGAATCCAGCCGGCGTAATGAAGAAGATGAGACTATCTTCGATGATCCTCCTCCAGATAAAGACAATACCGGAAGCGGTCCGACCAAGTCATCCACTCAACCTCCGCAAGTTTACTTGAAGAAAAGTGAGGAAGAGGATAAGAAGATGAATGATCTCGAGAGCAAAGTTAACGCTCTGATGACGGCCCAAGAAGTGAAGAAAACGGGCATTCCATACCCGTACCCGAGGGAGTGGGACTTGATTCCTTATCCCCCAAAATTTAATTTGATTAACTTTACTCCTTTTGATGGCAGGGGTTCACCCACTTAGCACTTGATCTATTTCAAGTCGCACCTCAGCGCAATATCCGGGAACGAAGCCCTGATGGTCCGGTCATTCGTAGGAACCCTTCGCGGGCCTGCCTTCGATTGGTATCGACACCTTAAACCTGGAAGTATCACTAGCTGGGAGGATATGGAAGAATTATTCCTCACCAATTTCTTCAACGACGACACAGTGGTCTCTATTGGCACGTTGTTGGACGAGAAGCAGAAGGATGGGGAGTCGGTTGATGTTTTTGTCAAACGATTCTGGGACAAAGCAGTGAATTGTCGAGATCCACTCACAGAAGAATTCGTCCTACAGACATGTCACAACAACTTGTCATTGGATGTGTTAGAGGTAATGGGGTTGTTCCCTCTAAAACTTGGAAGGAATTGAAGGTGAGAGGTGAGCAAGCTGAACGCTTTCTCAAGAGAAGGAATTTCGAGAGAGGTCAGTCACCGGCTAATAATTAGAAACAAAATTTTAACCCTCGAGGTAGAGGAAGAGGGTCCGGAGCCACTGTGGACGCACATCAAACGTCACAACAGCCGCCGCAACAACAACCGCAGCAATCGTCCTTCCAGTTGGCACCAAATCAGAATCAACAGCCTCTGAAGCAGTTTAAGCCTTCTGAGCCTAGATTCCCGAAGGAGTATTCATTTAAAGATGATGAAGTTCCAGTTATCTTCAAGTACCTACTGGATAACAATAAGATCAAGCTTCCACCGGTCACAAACCAAGAAGAAGCAACGAAGACCAATGACCCGAAGTATTGTGCATATCATAGAAGGGTTCACCATCCCACTAAGGCGTGTTATGTCTTGAAAGACAAAATATAAACCTTAATTGATGTTGGCATCGTGACACCGAAGCCGAAAGAGAAGAAAGTAGGTACAAATGCAGTGTCTATCAGCTTCGGATCAGTTCCTTTATCCTGGTTTCAAGCCGAACCAGTATCCAAAGTAAAAATGCAAACCATCAACGATGACCCTCATGGACAGCGCCAGAATGG